CAAGGAGGTGCTTCCTCCCAGGGAAGACCCCAGTGCTGTGGGAGTACAAAGGTTCAGCCTGGGTGATCCACGGGGCCATATTTTGGTACTCCCTGCCCAATTCGGTAGTCAATGGGAAAATACTGCAGCCACAGCTTGAGAAGGCATGGGGATCAGGGATTAGACTCCATAGGGATGAAGTTTCGGACACCCCCACCAGCTGAGCAGCATACAACAGCAGAAGCACTAGCTCAAGACGAGGGGAGGTGGAATGGATACAGTGGAGAGGAACCTCAGTTCTCTGTTGTGCGCTGAGATCAGCTGTAGCAGAGGGGAATGTGTAGTCTGTCCCACCAATCCTCCTCTGCTAAAGTTTGGCGCGGTGGCTCACGCCTGTAATCCCAGCACTCTGGGAGGCTGAGGCAGCAGGATCACGAGGTCAAGAGATCGAGACCATCCTGGTCAACATGGTGAAACCCCATCTCTACTAAAAATACAAAAAATTAACTGGGCATGGTGGCACGTGCCTGTAATCCCAGCTACTCAGGAGGCTGAGGCAGAATTGCCTGAACCCAGGAGGCGGAGGTTGCGGTGAACCGAGATCGTGCCATTGCGCTCCAGCCTGGGTAACAAGAGTGAAACTGCATCTCAAAAAAAAAAAAAAAGTTCACCCAGGAAAACTGAACAGTCAGAATGCTAGAGGAGTGAGCGATGGACTGTGATGGGATCCACATTCCCCCAAAGGCTGGGGGTGTTGGCTAGGTACTGTCCTCATCTCAAAGGAGTCCACTTACCCAAGGTCACTCGCCCTTCCGGGGACAGCTTGTGCTCCATGACTGATTGATGAAGGGGGTGGAAAGGCCTGGCTTCTTGCTTCAACTGGGGACAACTCCAAAGGGCCACCCCAGCTCCAGAGCTCCCAATCACACCCAGCAAGGTAGGCAAGGTGTCTGCTGACGGCATCAGTGGAACCTCTCCCTTGCTGGCAAGAGCTTCTCCCAGGGCACTCCTTAAGAAACCCCTCGGGGACACAAGTCTCTTTGGGAACCTCATCTCAGACACGTTCCAAAGCAACTGCTTCTACCAGTGTTGCATTTCCTCTAATTTTCATTCTTCCTTTTTTTTTTTTTGAGATGGAGTCTCACTCTGTCGCCCAGGCTGGAGTGCAGTGGCATGATCTTAGCTTACTGCAACCTCTGCCTCCCGGGTTCAAGAAATTCTCTTGCCTCAGCCACCTGAGTGGCTGGGATTACAAGCATGTGCCACCACACTTGGCTAATTTTTTTGTATTTTTAGTAGAGACAGGGTTTTACCCTATTGGCCAGACTAGTCTCAAATTCCTGATCTTGTGATCCACCTGCCTCAGCCTCCTAAAGTGTTAAGATTATAGGCTTTTCTTTTTTTTGAGATGGAGTCTCACTCTGTCGCCCAGGCTGGAGTGCAGTGGATCTCGGCTCACTACAACCTCTGCCTCCCAGGTTCAAGTGATTCTCTGCCTCAGCCTCCTGAGTAGCTGGGATTACAGGTGCACACCATCAATCTTGGCTAACTTTTGTATTTTTTTTTTTTTTTTTGGTGGAGACAGGGTTGCACTGTGTTGGCCAGGCTGGTATCGAACTCCTGACCTCAAGTGACCCACCCACCTTGGCCTTTTCCCAAAGTGCTGGGATTACAAGTGTTAACCACCCTGCCCAGCCTCTAATTTGCTTTTATTTACTGATGTCATCAGAGTATAACTGTCATAATTTTCATTGACATAGAAACATGTGTTCTAGGCTGGGTGCAGTGGCTCAAGCCTGTAATCCCAGCACTTTGGGAGGCCGAGGCAGCTGGATCATGAGGTCAAGAGATCGAGACCATCCTGGTCAACAAGGTGAAACCCCATCTCTACTAAAAATATAAAAAAATTAGCTGGGCATGGAGGCGCGTGCCTGTAATCCCAGCTACTCAGGAAGCTGAGGCAGGAGAATTGCCTGAACCCAGGAGGCGGAGGTTGCAGTGAGCCGAGATCGCGCCATTGCACTCCAGATTGGGTAATAAGAGCGAAACTCCATCTCCAAAAAAAAAAGAAACATGTGTTCTATATCTAGCCACTACTCTTGAAGGTTTTCTCCTCTGGTAATTTCATAGTTGTCCCAGGATGACTTTTCCTTTGCCCATGAAAGACCCATGAACTTTACTAGGATTATTTGTAACCTCACAAATTCATACTAAGTCTTGCCTTTATTTACAAAAAATTTTAATTTCCCAATTATGAAATTAATTACATGCTATTGTAGTTTTAAAAAATATGCCAGGTGTGGTGGCTCACATCTGTAATCCTAGCACTTTGGGAGGCAGAAGAGGGCAGATCATGAGGTCAGGGGTTCAAGACCAGCCTGGCCAAGATGGTGAAACCCCGATTTCAGGATGTAGAGAAACTGGAACTCTTGTGCATTACTGGTGGGAATGTAAAACATCACAAAATTGAGACTTGGTGTTACCATATTATCCAGTAATTCCACTTGTGAGTATGTACACAAAAGAACTGAAAGCAGGGATTCAAAACAGTTATTTGTACACAAATGTTCATAGCAGGATGATTCACAGTAGCCAAAGGTGAAAACAACTCACATGCCCATCAATGGATGAATGTAATATACACATACAATGAAACATATTCAGCGTTTAAAAAAAAGTTTGACACATGCTACAACATGAGTGAACCCTGAAGACATGATGCCGAGTGAAATAAGCCAGCCGCAAAAGGACAAATAGCATATGACTCCTCTTACTTGAGGTATCTGGAGCAGTAAAATCCAGAGACAGAAAGTTAAAGAGTGGTTACCAGGGGCTGGGGAAGGGCAAAGGCGTAGTTAATGTTTAATACGTAGAGTTTCAGTTTGGGTTGATGAAAAAGTTTTGGAAATAGATGGTGGTGACAGTTGCATAACAATGCAAATGTACTTAAATGCTACCGAACTTACAAATGATGAACATGGTAAATTTTATGTTATGTGTATTTTACAGTAAAAACGAGTTGATATAAAAGAAATAAATAAATACAGACGATGGGGCTTGCTTAAATCAAGAACCTAGCTCTATAAAAAAAATAAGCACAATTGGCCAGTTGCAGTGGCTCACACCTGTAATCCCAGCATTTTGGGAGGCCGAGGTGGGTCACCTGAGGTCAGGAGTTTGAGATCCAACCTGGCCAATGTGATGAAACCCCATCTCTACCAAAAATACAAAAAATTTGCTGGGTGTGGTGGCATGCACCTGTAATACCAGTTACTCAAGAGCCTGAGGCAGGAGAATCGCATAACGCAGGAGGCGGAAGTTGCAGTGAGCTGAGATCATGCCGTTGCACTCCAGCCTGGGCAATGAGAGTGAAACTCTCTCTTGAAAGCAAATAAATAAATAAGCAAAATTAGCTGGGTGTGGTGGTGTGCCCCTGCAGCCTCAGCTATTTGGGAGACTGAGAAGGCAGGAGCGCTTGAGCTCAGGTGGGCAAGGCTGCGGTGAGCTGCTGTGAATGCCACGCTGCAGTCCAGTCTGGGGGATGCATGAAACCCTGTCTCAGAAAAGAACAATTCTATTTCTGGCCCCCAAAATGTTTTTAAATCCTTTGTGGTAAATGTGCAGGTAAATAGAGAAGAAAATGTGACATTTATCGAGAATCTATTTTGTATAAGTGTTTTAACTATTTAAGTACTTTATGTCACTTACTTCTAATACTGTGATGTAGGCACTAATCCAGATTGAGACTGGGAAGCTGGGTCCCGCTGTCAGTGAGTGAGTGGCCAGCCCACCCTCCACACCCGGCCTGTCCACTCCTGATTTTGTGCTTTCTGGTACACCTCACTGCTTCCTGCTTATCCCACTTCACTTTATTTCCATTGGGCATTGTAAAAAATTTCAGCTATTTGGAAGTTTGCATCTGCAGAGAAGTAATTTAGAAAAACACAAATTATGGATCAAGTGGTACCTAAATAATAGAAGCAAATCTTGTCCTTCACAGAACAGACACATCAAAGCCAGAAACAGAACTGAGTGCTCACCTAGGACTGGACTCTGCTGGTTTCCTCAGTTTCCAGCCAGCTGTAGTTGCCATATTCCATATGAAAACAGATATAACACATCCTCACCATGGTACTTTGGAAAATATAAAAGAGCAGACAGCAAAAACCTACCGTCATAAAGCACCTCGCCCCCTAGAAATAACCAGTTCACATTTAGGTCAATATCTATTCCATTTTTACTGTGCATACACATAAATGCAATGTATTTTTAAAATGAACTTTATAATGTGCAGTTTTATCACTTGGTTTACAAGGTTTACAACTAAACATACTGTGAAAATTTTCTCTTCTACAACAGTTAAAAGAACTGCATAGCTTGGAGGAAATAATTTATTACGCAATCTTGTTGGGGACATTGAGGTATAATTTTTTTTCTAAGGAGACTTTATTCTCTTACAATGCCTTTGGGAAAAAAGGGGAGTCCTTGTCGTATATAGTTTTCTACAGATGATGGAAACTTGCCCTTCCATTTAGCCTTTTAACTTGCTTCTCTACACCTATCTAATCACCAGTCAAGTGACCCATTTCATGTTTTCCAACCTCTCTCCTTCACTGCCTTCCTCTCTCCTACCCAGTCTCCCTGCACATGTGCAGACAGACTTCCCTTCCTTCAGTACTCTGGGTCCTCCCCTTAAAAAGGCGTTCTTTCCTTTTAAAGAGACTATTTTAATCAATTTTGATCAACTCTACTCAAAACTGTATCCTAAGGTCCACATTAGGATTAGTCTTTAATAATCTGAAGAGATAATTCAATTGCTTAAAAGAACATATTAAGAAGGCCTTGGTAGAATTACACATATGAAAAAACACTGGACTTAGGCACAATGGAGATATGGCTGACTTTCTTTTGAAAAAAAGTAGTTCTTTGGGGGAAGGCGGGGCAAAGAGGTAAGAAGTAGTTGGTTCTGTAAGAAAATAATACTAGAGACTAACAAATGATCACCTTTCAGATAGGACATTGTAGCAGCAACCTTTACTGGTCATGAAATTTGCCTAACATCTAACATCGTTTTTCTGGAAATAGGTCAATGTCAATTAATAGTAACTTTGTATAGAAAGGCAGATGCCAGCTAGCATCAAAGTGGTACATGCAGATGGTGGTAGTTCTGGAGTCCTGGAAGCCATGAGGTGCTCATCCAGCACAAGACCATCTGGAAGGTAGGGATACTTGGTCATTAAAAGAAACCTCTCTGGCAGCTCATCCTGCCACCCACACCCGTGGCTTATCTACTCGCCTACTGTTAACCTGCTCTTTCCGGGACACTCACACCTGAAACCTAGCCCCGTGGTGATGCCTTCACTTGCAGGGATGAGCAGAACCTGATTAGGCTCTGATTGGGTCCCATGTTCTAGGAAGAAAACATGGTCCCTACACCAATCATCCAACCCAAACTTACCAAACACCTATCCTGAGCCTGACATCCAGGATGCAAATGGCAAAGACACAATCCCTGTCTGGATCGGGGAATTCCATCTAGTTCTCAGTGAAATGTTGGCTTTCATTTACCTCCTGGACTTGAATATTTTCCACTTCTAACATCTCCAAGGCCCAGAATTATGACAGGTCTCTGAGCTTGGAGGACCCCAGATCCCTGGCTCAGGCTGGGGTGGAGAGAGGACCGTGGCCTCTTGTTCTCTCCAGGTGCTGCCCTTCTTTTCATTGTTTTCCTCAAATCAGTAACAATCAATAAAGTGAAAGGCTTCTGTGACCTGCCATTGGGAAGGGGAGTTGCCTGGGACTTTCTAAAGGACTAGCAAGGGTCCAAGCCTCTGATAGAATTTGCTGTTGGGGTGGACTCTAATTGAGCTGCCCATACTGGAGATGGTTTGGGTCCCCTGTCCAAAGGAAAAGAACACCAGAGAGGATCTTCTGGTTAAACAAGAGACCAAGACTTGTTTACTTTCCTCAATAGAAGTTCAGACAATAACATGTCAAATAGCCTTAAATACCTCTCCATCTGAAAGGCAGTAGGACTAGACAGGTTTCCAAGGACGTACATATCAAAGAGGCCAAGGCAACTATCTCATCAGGAATCGTGACGCTTTTATAAACAGAACTTTGGCTGCCAGGCTCTAGCAAGCCAAGATACAGGCACTGCCTGTTAACTAAGCACCCTCAAGGCAACTACGTAACCTCAAAAGGCAAAAGAAAGAGGAGAACCTCCACTTACCGCAGCCAGGTAGGAAAGTCTGAGGAAAGCAGCGGAGCTGGCCGTGCCAGCATTTACACAGGGAACACTTCTTGGGAAGCCAGGTATCATGAGGCACAGACCCACAGTTCCTGAGAATGAACAGGTAAGGCGATATCCTTGGGTCTGAAATTTCACTTCCCTCTCCTCTCCATTGTCCCCAACCCCTGAATGGCTTACTTTCTGCGCACATCATGCTCACAGTTCCGTCCATAGAAGGAAGGCGGGCAGGCACAAAAGGACCCCAGCATGCAGGTACCCCCATTCAGGCAGCAGGTTCTGTTCAGCTCCTTACCTGAAAGGCAAGAACAGATGACTGAGGGTGGAGAGATGGAAGCGTGCAAGGGCAGTTCCTATAAGCGAAGATCAATACAACACCAATGTGTTTGGAAAACACACTGTAAACTTCAGAGTGAGACTGCGCCTTTGAGCGAAGTCATTTTCATGCATAGGCCAGTGGTGGTTCTGGGGTTCTCCAGTGTTTAGTGGACTCAGACAAGGAAAACTGCGCTGCAGGGAAGTCAAATACACAATCCCTGTCTCGCTTCCAAAACCAAAAGCAGTCCAGCACCTGCCCAGTTCCAGTAGTTCCAGAGCCAGGTGCCCTTCTAGGTGAAAGTGTTGAAAAGATACTTGGGAGACACATGAAGGGCTAGGACAGACGCATGGAAGCCAGGCAGTTCTTACTGTGCTGTATCCCCACAGGCGGCACAAGCTTGGAAGACCAAGAGCGAATCGCAGGCTCTCGGGGCCGAATGCTGTCATCTCTGAAGGCCAGGTCTCCCTGAGATGGACGCGCAAGCTCCTGATGGCCCAGCCCTTAACGACAAAATCAATTAATGGAGTCTGTATTTCAGGCCACATAAAAATTGTGAGCGATAAAAAGAACCAAAGGTCTCTCACCGGCGACTAATCCCAGTTCAAATACTTTAGAAATCGCCATGATCCAAATCACACTAGGAAGAGGAAGTCAGACATGAGTTAGCAAAACAAAGGAAATAAAACCTTACAAGTTAACACCTGGGTCTTCTCATCACAAGACCACACATCACTAATGAGAAAGTGCAGAGCACCATCTTTCTGTTTTTCTTTTTTTAATGGCTACTTCATGTAACAAAGAAAAATGTTGAGGCTGGGCGTGGTGGCTCACGCCTATAATCCCAGCACTTTGGGAGGCCCAGGCGGCTGGATCACGAGGTCAAGAGATCGAGACCTTCCTGGTCAACAACGTGAAACCCTGTCTCTACTAAAAATTAGCTGGGCATGGTGGTGCGCAACTGTAGTCCCAGCTACTCGGGAGGCTGAGGCAGGAGAATTGCCTGAACCCAGAAGGCGGAGGTTGCGGTGAGCCGAGATCGTGCCATTGCACTCCAGTCTGGGTAACAACAGCGAAACTCCGTTTCAAAAAAAAAAAAACAAAGAAAAATGTTGAAAAAAAAAGTCCCCAATATCCAAGTCTTTTAATATATATTATTATCTCTTAGGCTCTGTCCTCAGATAGGTACACAATTTTAATTATGTTTTCTAGTTATGTACATATGTCTTTTATCTTCTCTTTCACATAATTTTTCTTCTGCATACAGTTTTCATGTAAGATTTAAAAATGGCTGCATGCCATTCCATGTTACTGATGAATTATATTTTACAAATTATTTTAACTGATCATTTAAAAGTTTTTTAGGTAAAAACCATTTTTTTTTTTTTTTTTTGCTATTATCTTAATGGTTTTGCAAGTATTGAAACTGCCTTTCATCTTTTTGGAAGATTTAAAATTTTGTTGTAGTATTGACCTTTGTTTATACAACAATAAGGGAACGCTATTTCATAGACAGAGTCGTTAACATGAAATGAAAATTAACATTAACATGAAAATGTTAAGAGCCAATAGCAGGCTGGGCGCGGTGGTTCACACCTTTAATCCCAGCACTTTGGGAGGCCAAGGCGGGTGGATCATAAAGTCAGGAGTTCGAGACCAGCCTGACCAACATGGTGAAACCCTGTCTCTACTAGAAATACAAAAATTAGCCGGGTGTGGTGGCATGCACCTGTAATCTCAGCTACTCTAGAGGCTGAGGCAGGAGAATTGCTTGAACCCGGGAGGTGGAGGTTGTAGTTAGCCGAAATCGCGCCACTGCACTACAGTCTGGGCGACAGAGAGAAAGAGAGAGAGAGAGACTCCGTTTCAATTAAAGAAAAGAAAAGAAAGCCAATGGCAAAGTTAGAAGTAACTGTGTGAGATTCCAGGTCTTTCAGAAAAAATAGCAGTGCCATTGGCAGCTCCTTTAAGGTTTAAGCAAGAGAAAAATCAAATGACAGGCGTAGAACATTATTTCCTAAGCTGGCAATCTCTAGCAATCAGTAAAAGTTCACATTCGAGATTAGCTCATACCTGGAAGAGAAGCGGGCCATCTTTCTGCAGTCCATAGCTTTTAACAATTAGGGGGAAGAAGGCGTTAGCATTGATTTAATTCAGAATCATTGCCAAAACAGCCAAAGGAAAACATTCATCTCCTAAAGCAAAAATGGCAGCTTAAGAAGAAGACGAGAAATACGCGTCCCCAGAAGGTCGTAGCAGAAGCAGGAGCAAAGGTGACCAGGAGAAACTGGAGGGCCCTCGGCCTCGACGTTTTGACCTTGAGCTGAGTCGTCAGCCTTTCCGGGGATTCACCTTTCTCAACAACAAATCCCGGTAGGGGCGGAGAGACCCCTCAGGTGGGCGGGAGGCCCGCCGGCATGACAATGCCCAGCGCTGCGGGGAGAGGAGTCTTGTAAAACTGTGGTTAACCTGCCCTAAAATCTCTATCATTAGTGGCAGGCTAAAATGATCAGATGAACTCTTTTGGAAAGAAAGAAAAAGAAAAATCAATTTCTCTAATCAAGTTGGTGATTTCAGGTTGGAGGCGTGGCGGAAAGTCATTGCTTTGATTAGGAAAACCTGAAAATATATGGGTCTCAAAGCATTCGAGATTTTATTGCCAAGTTTCACTTCCTGAAATTTGCTTCCACTTTGTTTTTCCAAAAGAGCCCCATACTGCCCTGGGGGATAGCCGGGTGGCCAAGAAAGGGGTGCTCTCCGCCCGAGGAGCTAGGTATGTTTGTGGGAAGACTAGGAAGCTTGAAGTTCAGGGTCAGGAGGGGTTCCTTGGGAGCTCCAGACTTGAAGTGCAAATTCCAGGCGGACCTGAATTCCTGGAAGGACGCTGGAGCCGGCGCCAGGTGCCCGAGAGAGGGGAGGGGCCGCCAGGGGCGCAGTCGCTCGGGCTCTGCAGTGGGGGCGCCGGCCTGTTTCAGAAAGAAGTTCTAGAACCCCGGCAGTCCGGCCTCGGAGGCCATGTCAGTCCCTAATCACGGGAATTTATCTCAGCTTCCCAGCGCCCACAGTGTGGCCTCTTCCAGGCCTCGCCGTCCTGGCCCCACGACACCGGGAATTACCCCTGGACTATGATGTGCCGCTTGCAGCGGTAAAAGCGTTTATTGGGTGAGTTCCACGAGGCTCCAGACTAGGGAGAGGCGCGTCTGTGAGCCTGAGTCTCCTCACCTGACATTTCAGTCCTCCGGGTTAAGTATTACTAAATGCACCCGAAGCAGTAGTTTCTAAATCGCATTTAATTCCAATTTGTAAATGAAAGCCTGACGTTTACTTAATATTGCCAGGCACGCAAATGTGAAGCTTTTATTAGATCTGTTTCCATCCATCTCTGTTTATTGGATTTAGGCCACGGCAGAAAGAATTGGTAGCATCCGAGGCCATTTCAGCGTCAGGGTCTACCGTGTGAATGAATGCCTCGGACGCACAGGTGCTGGGAAAAGGTGTTATTTATTTCTACAGTTGATCTTGGGAGACGCAAACAAAAATGATTTTTGATGGGAGGAGTAGGGCCCCATCCAGTCAAGGGTGGGATGCAGCAGCATTTTCAACTCCACAGCAGTTGACTATTTAATTCCGGCTGCGCTTCGCCTCCTCCCTGTCTGGCCTTTTCAGGTGAAACGCTTCAGGTGGCATGCTGAGATTCACTGCGGATTGGGGAACTTGGCCTGAAGCTCTAGGAGGCCGGAGGTGGGGGAGAGCTCTGCAGAGGAGAAGGCTCGCCCGGGAGCTGCGAGGAGGTTTAAAGATGTAACTCAGTGCGGTGCCCTTGTGAGGTAGCCTGTGCACCACAGTTCTCACAGGTCCAAGGTGCCAAGTAGACAGTAGCGCCAACATTGTTAGTCTCATCTTACGGACACGACAACTAGTACTACTGGGGGATTTGAATGTTTTGGCTTCAGAGACTGGGCAGGCCCGTGGCGGAACTGGCAACAGAACACACTCCTGCATTGCTATTTCCTTATCTAAAGGGGCTGTTGTGGAATTTTTAGAGCTGAAATCAGGCTGCTGGAAATCACTGCATTTTCAGAGGAAGTAACTGAGGTCTCCAGTCTGGCGATGTTGGCATCAACCAAACCAGAACCCCAGCCCGCCAGGTTTTCAGCCACACAGAATCCCTTCTCTGACGGGTGCGGTGGCTCACACCTATAATCCCAGCACTTTGGGAGGCTGAGGCGGGTGGATTACGAGGTCAAGAGATCGAGACCATCCTGGTCAACATGGTGAAACCCCGTCTCTACTAAAAATACAAAAAAAAATTAGCTGCGCATGGTGGCACATGCCTGTAATCCCAGCTACTCGGGAGGCTGAGGCAGGAGAATTGCCTGAACCCAGGAGGCGGAGGTTACGGTGAGCCAAGATTGTGCCATTGCACTCCAGCCTGGGTAACAAGAGCGAAACTCCGTCTCAAAAAAAAAAAAAAAACAATCCCTTCTCTAAGGATCAGACCCCCCTGTTGCCCATAGGTACTGACTGCAGAGGAAGCCACGTGGATCCAGGGTAGTCAGAGCCCGGGCCAGGTTTTGGGGTGGGGGCAGGAAGAAGGGGAAGGGAAGGGCTGTGGTGTTTAAGAGAAGTTAGATATTTGCTCTTGGGCTGGAGATTAAGGGCTGCTTAACAGGCATTTGACGTCTACTACTGGGTTGCCAGCGGACTGGAGCTTGGCTCAGGAGAAACAGTTGTGAGAAGTGGCCCCAGAGGCTGCAGAGAAAGAACAGTAATTGTTGATTATAATTGTAGTAACTGCAAAACATTGCTGCTGCCTCCAGGTGGGGGAATTGAATGACTACCCTAGGATGGCCACTGGTCACCTCTGCTTGGTCACTGTTGAAACTGGGCTGCTGGCCTGCCTCCAGGCCAGTGCGAGCTGTGTGTCAAAAGGTCAGGCCGAGGACTGGGAAGTGCTGTGCAGTGGGGATTCCCCAGCTCATCCCTTGCAAGAGGCAATGATAGCAGAAAGTGAAAAACAATGCTCTTGGTCTTGGCCATTTCAGTACTGCCCTTGAGACGTTGTGTGTTGAAAACTGGGGCAGAATTGTGTTTAAAATCACACAAATAAGCATTTGACTTAAAACCATCCAAACAAGAATAATGGAATGAAAATCATCACAATCAGCCGGCCCGGTGGCTCATGCCTGTAATCCCAGCACTTTGGGAGGCCGAGGAGGGTGGATCACAAGGTCAAGAGATCGAGACCATCCTGATCAACATGGTGAAACCCCGTCTCTACTAAACATACAAAAAATTAGCTGGGCAAGGTGGCGCGTGCCTGTAATCCCAGCTACTCAGGAGGCTGAGGCAGGAGAATTGCCTGAACCCGGGAGGCGGAGGTTGCGGTGAGCCGAGATTGCGCCATTGCACTCCAGCCTGGGTAACAAGAGCGAAACTCCATCTCAAAAAAAAAAAAAAAAAAAATCATCACAATCAAAGGACAGACTTCCACTGTCTGCCTAAAATTCAAGGAAGAAAATAAACTTGGAGAATGGGATCAATTTTAGCTCTCCAAAAGCCAATTCGACCTTATTTAAATGGCTGACAACCCATAGAATCAAATCGCAACCAAAAAGTTGAAAGAACAGCCACTTCTGTAGTACGATGACAGTATTTCAAGGTAAAAGCCTCCTTTTATCATGGGGCACTTAGATCTTATCTCTGTCATTGTCCCCTTGAACATCCAGGCAGACTAGGAGATGGGAGAGAGCAGAAGGAGCTGGGGAAATCTGTATATATAACAGATGTACCCTCCAGCTGAGGGACGCCGGGGTCCTTGTAATCCCATCAAGCTTAGCACCCAACGGCTTCTGTTAACACCTGAGCCACACCTGGGGAAGCATCACCCACCCAGTGTGTCCCGGAGGAGCTTCATTAACAAGTTAATGGCTTTCTGTTTTCACTGACAAACTTACAAATTGCAACCTATTCTGTATTTGCACAGCTATCTGTTGGACCTAAAAGGATAGATTTCTGCATTCAAAAATCTGCAATTTCAGTGGGGAAGGTGCGCTCAAGTGTGTCATTTTAGAGCCATATTGTTACACAAATGGCATAAGAGAAATGGAGAAGGGCTTAAGAGAGGACTTCATTTCCTCTGTGCGCCATGGGGGCTGTATAATATTTCTTCCCATGTAGACATGTTATACATTATTTTATCAATGAATGAACATGACATGTTTCTATGTTTTGTGGTGAACTTCTTTGTACGTATATCTTGATGAACTCTTGAGAGCATATTCCTCTTGTAAATTTCTGGCACTGGAATTGCTTGGTTAAAGGGTGGATGTTGCCAAATTATTTTCAAAGAAGCCTGCACGAATCTCCTCCCCCTTGAGTTGGTATTGAGAGCTCATCTCCCAAGTACTTCCCAGCTCTGGCTGCAGCAAGCATCTTAAGTTTTGCTAATACGGTATGTGAAATGTAGTACTTCATTGTTGCCTGAATTTGCATTGTGTCCTGTGGTTACTGGGTGTTTGTATTTCATTTTCTACGAACTGGTTTGTCCTTACAGGGCACTTAAACTGGCTTCTTTGAGACTCAGCCCAAATGTCATTTGTCTGGGAAGTCCTTGAAGAGACCATCCTCCCTACTCCAGCTTCCAGCTGTGCTGAGAGCTCTGTCCTGGCACTCAGTGTCCCCAAAGTCTATCTTGTCATCACTGTATTGTAAACTGTTGGTTTTTTTTTTTTGTCTTTCACCAACTTTTCCCCCTTGTCCTTTATTCCCTTGGACTAAGAGGTCCAGAAATCTGGTCTTCCAGAAATCTCGGCTTCTCCAACCTCTAGTGCAATGTTTCCAGTGCTGGTTTTCTTTTGGCTAATCCTCCTCCACCGGCCATGTCTGTGACTGACAGCTATTAAATCTCAGCCCTATTTTCTAAGATGAGGGTGGGGCGAGGGCAAGGTCCTTGAGAAGCGCCACAAGAAAACAACTTGTTTCCCCAATCCTGAGCCTAGAAATAAAACAAAGAATGCCCTCTTCCCCCAACAAAGAAGGAAAAAAAAGGTAAATCTGAAATAGGTAACCCAAACCACCACTGATATTCTGGGCTGAATTCTGGGCAACTTATTAAAGAGTATTTATCACATATAAGACAATAAGATAATTTTGATGTACTTACTGAGAACCATGTTAGGCTATGGGAAATTCGATTTAGACTTTTAGAAATAGCTATAATTTAGAATTCTTTTACACCAAAATCTTAATTTTTCCAATTAAATTCAACAAATATTTACTGATCAGCTGTCTGTGTTTAGTACAATGTGTAGATAGCGATTTCCAAGTAGGGCTCCTGCCCCCACCTCTCCTCCCCTGAGATAAGACAAGCCCAATAATCTAAATGAAGTGCCATTTCATTGTGATCACTAAAATGAGGGGGAGGAGGCAGTCACATCCTGATTTTTATCCCGACCAAGTCGAGGCCAATTGGCCCCAGCAGACAGATAGATGGACA